GTAAAATAATAATGCCTGAACATCGTTTACCTAAAAAAGCTTTCAATATGCTTTTACATCTTGATTATCTTGGAAAGAATAACTGGACATCTCATATTCGCACCTTACTATTTAGATATGGTTTTGGTTCTATTTGGTTATCACAGACAGTTGGAAATGCAAATATATTTATTAAACAGTCTCGTATGCGGGCTATTGATATGTTTAAGCAGGAATGGCATTCAACTATTAATGAAAGTTCTAGATATGATTCATATCGTCAATTTAAGTCGTTGCTTGAGCCTGAGTGTTATCTTGCTCACCTTCAATACAGAAATATTCGCAATGCTTTTATACGATTTAGATTAGGTCTTAATGATTTATTAATTAACTGTGGAAGATATGTTTCTATGGAAAAAACCCAAAGATTATGTCCATTCTGTTACATTATTGAAGACGAATTCCATTTTATGTTTATTTGACCTGTATATGAAAATCTAAGAAACGTTAATCTATTGTCTTCCTTACTTTCCAGCAAAGAACCTCTAAAACAACACAAAGTTGCTCTATTTATCTACAATGCATTTTTGTTAAGAAAAGAATTGATTAGTTAGAAAGTTGATTATATATGCCATTGTCAAGATGTATCTCTTTTGTATATGGGCCTATGGCCTTTCATACAATAAAGAATTGAATTGAATTGAATTGGACTCTAGATCCAGTATGGATTATTCCAGATGCTCTCCGAGATGTCATATATTGGATGGAGATGACCTGAATGCAGTCTATCCGTAACGAGGGGAGTCTTCCTCATCACTCATGTCTTGGTGATGCCTCAGAAACATCTCCTCCGCCTCATGGAACGCCATCTTGTTCATCCAGTAACTATGTTTGGAGAGTACATTCTTTGAGCTGAAACCAGAATTCGTGAGTGAAAGTATGTTTCAACACTAAACAGTATTGATGTAGTCTCAAGATGTTGCACATCCATGTCTTTACATGTAAACCTATATGAGGATTTGAACTATACCTAAGGGTGACATTTTTAAACGAGGTGGCCATCGAATATCGCTACTGGTGTCTCCAAGTATGTCACATCTGCGTTTAACAACAGGAAGTACGTTTGTAGGTGTCATGATAAAAAAATAACCAGTATGAAGTTTTCGAAAAGATTTAGAAAACAATCCATATTTTGTCTCTTGATTAAACATTACTGATCTATTTCAAACATTCCTGTAATACCTTTTCCCATTGACAAACTCCACTTCTAGCTTTTGATCGCCTCCATCTCTGTGGACATTTCTCACTTGACCCGGAAGGAAATGTATTCTGTCAGGGTCAGCAAGTGCCAGGATGTAGCTGCCGACCTTGAACTTGATCATAGGGGTGTATGTTCCATAGATGTGGATGGACATCTGTTCGCTGCACTTGCCATCGCCCCATTTCACGGAATATTTCTGCTGACGTCCTATCTGTTTTTCTATTGTACCTAGAAACGTAGATATAGTATTTGCTTAGCAGCCACTAGTTCATTCATGGCAGACAGTATCGTGTCTGTGGTGTTTATAAGTATGCCTGATAACCTACATTATCTGAATACGCCTGATTTGTCTCTGGTTACCTAGCTGTCTGTACACGTCTGATTCATCTCTGTTGACCTACCCAGTTTGAAAACCCCTAATTCGTCTTTGTTGACCTACCCAGTTTGTAAACCCCTAATTCGTCTCTGGTGACCTACCCAGTCTGTATACCCCTTATTCATCTCTGTTGACCTACCCAGTTTGTAAACCCCTAATTCGTCTCTGTTGACCTACCCAGTTTGTAAACCCCTAATTCGTCTCTGTTGACCTACCCAGTTTGTAAACCCCTAATTCGTCTCTGTTGACCTACCCAGTTTGTAACCCCTGATTCGTCTCTGTTGACCTACCCAGTTTGTAAACCCCTAATTCGTCTCTGTTGACCTACCCAGTTTGTAAACCCCTAATTCATCTCTGGTGACCTACCCAGTTTGTAAACCCCTAATTCGTCTCTGTTGACCTACCCAGTTTGTAAACCCCTAATTCGTCTCTGTTGACCTACCCAGTTTGTAAACCCCTAATTCATCTCTGTTGATCTACCCAGTTTGTAACCCCTGATTCGTCTCTGTTGACCTACCAAGTTTGTAAACCCCTAATTCGTGTCTGTTGAACTACCCAGTTTGTAAACCCCTAATTCGTCTCTGTTGACCTACCCAGTTTGTAACCCCTGATTCGTCTCTGTTGACCTACCCAGTTTGTAAACCCCTAATTCGTCTCTGGTGACCTACCCAGTCTGTATACCCCTGATTCGTCTCTGGTCACCTACCCAGTCGGTACACCCCTGATTTGTTTCTATGACCTACCAATTCTGTATACCCCTGACTCTTCTCTGTGACCTACCCAGTCTATTACACGCCTGATTCGTCTCTTGTGACCTACCTGTCTGTACACATCTGATTCGTCTCTGGTGACCTACCCAGTCTGTACACCCCTGGTTCGTCTCCGTTGACGTACCTAGTTTATACACGCCTGATTCGTCTCTGATGAAAGCCTCCAGTCCCTCCCAGTCTTTCTCTCGCTGGCGAATCTCCGCCACGTCCTTGTCATGTTTCGCTCGGTCCCTGGCAGCGTACACGTCCCATCTGTTGATGTTTTTTCTGATTGTTGTCATAGAAACGGACAGTTAGATGCTGATCAAGCGTTTCTACCACCCGACCAGGGGCGTAGCTCCAGTAGTAGATAGGGTGTGGGGCCAGTACACAGCCACTGGCTCTCTGTGACAGAAAGAAAACTCAATTATGAGGCACGGATTTACACAACAGAGGTGGTTACACAGAGGATCAAAACACGTTCCCGCGCTTAGTTGTATTCAAGCTATAATCGGAAGAAGATCAAGGTGGACCCCACTTAGGCCTACCAAAGAAAACTTTCCCACTGTGCAGAAAAACCCACATTAATTGTGGAAATAGCAGCATAAACATAATACCTCGCTACTGAAACAGTAAAAACAGCAACTTTAAATCGCTGAATCGGGATAAAAAACGAAGAGCCTGCAGCTTCGATTTTGCGCATGCGCACATGGAAGAGGAAGTCTCGACCGCATGTTGACATTTTCTAGCTTAGACAAAAGTAACATTCCCCTTTTTATAGTATTTGTGATGTGTTATTTGGCATTTATCATCATCATACTTGTGTGCACACTTGTTTAGTTTACTTTCCATTCGTATGAAATGATTGACAGCAATTATTTCGACATATTCAATACTTTTCTACGCGAGGCAATTCAAGGTTGCTCGGGAATTTGAAAGAAGCGCGGGTCGTAATGGGCATGCGCAAGAGAGGTCAAAAGTCGCTGATATAAAAAATGTTTCATAGTCTTTCGTAGCCGTTTGTACTGTTTATGTTGCTATTTCCACGATTAATGCGGGCTTATCTGCGTTTCTGCACAGTGGGAAAGTTTTCTTTGGTAGGCCTGCCACTGCTAAGCTAGATCGCGAGCATGATGCTGCTCTGAAATGAATGAGTGAGTGAATTTTAGTTTTACGCCGCTTTTAGCAATATTCCAGCAATATCGGGGGGCACCAGAAATGGGCCTCACACAGTGTACCCATGTGGGGAATCGAAATAACAGAAATAATTCCTCAGTAAACATATTCAAGTGTTACCTTGGGAGAGGACACAGTGTCGTAAGGATCAGTTATCCGGACGATATCTTCCCGACTGATGATGTCATCTCGGCCTGTGGTATCTTTCACCTTGTAGCTGTAGTTATCCATGCGCTGGACAATCCTTCCTGAAATATTGAATGGGGAATCAAACCCGGGCCTTCGATATGAAACACCCAAACAAAACCTCCTCACCGTCATCAAATGTCTACTAGGATTAGTGATAGGCGGTGACTGACTAATGACCAGGGTGCTTGCTTATGAAGCCACGATGCTAACAGACTCATAAAACTAATCAAGTTCAAGTTCAGTTTATTCTCAAATAACCACGTTTGGTGGTACAAGAGAAAATCCTATCGGCAATGTTTCCTACCTTTGTAGTACCATCGGTTGTCCTCCCACCGGACTAAGACCTCCTCACCTCATTAAAGAGTCTAGTGGTGTGACGATCCATCGATACGCATCGATCCATGGGCCGCCGATACAGTAAATCGATACGATATTTCAAATGAGCCACAATACATCGATATTTAGCTTTGAATATTACCGAATCGTGATATCTGTCAAGAAAAAAGACTTACTTTTGTTTGATGATTAGAATATATGCTTACTTATTTTCCCTTCATAAGTAAACATTTTCTCCGAAATTCTTGCGTCAAGAACTGTACATGTGTCAGACATAGCACTCGCATGTTATCAACATTCACAAAGTCTGTGTATAAACTTAAAGTATCTTCTTTCCAAATGAACATTGAACGACGCTGGCGGAATTTAACGAAATACTGGTTTTGTTTTGATCTTAAGGAGTTTTATAGTTAGAATTAAAGGTTTTAGTATCGTGATACGTAATGTATCGCAACCCTTATATCGGGATTCGTATCGTATCGCTGTTTCAGTGCACAATACTTTGGCAATATATATTCGTGACAAGACTTTCAGTATCATATCGCAGGTTGTATGCAAATACCAGCACAATTAAAGACTGGATCAGGTATAGGTGCTCGCTTATGAAGCCACGATGTCAACAGACTCCTAAAACTAATCCTATCGGCAATGTTCCCTACCTTTGTAGTACCATCGGTCGTCCTCCCACCGGGCCAGAACCTCCTCGCCATCATCAAAGACTGGATCGGGTATAGGTACTCGCTTATGAAGCCACGATGTCAACAGACTTCTAAAACTAATCCTATCGGCAATGTTCCCTACCTTTGTAGTACCATTGGTCGTCCACCCACCGGGCCAGAACCTCCTCACCATCTTCAAAGTCTGGATCAGGTATAGGTGCTAGTTTATGAAGCCACGATGCTAAGAGACTCCTAAAACTAATTCTATAGGCAATGTTCCCTACCTTTGTAGTACCATCGGTCGTCCACCCACCGGGCCAGAACCTCCTCACCATCTTCAAAGTCTGGATCAGGAACGCGTGGTGGTGGTGATTTGCTGGGTTGTACACGTCTGTTGGTTTGGTTTCTGGAACAAATTTTATTTTTGCCTGAACACCACAGGTATCCTTCACAGTGCTGTGAGTGGAGTACTATAAAAGTCAGAATTTTGTTGGAACGATGGATTGTGTATCTTATGCCCCAACAGTAAAAAAAACAGGTGGTGTTTCTCCGGGGTTGTACATTTTTGTGCTTTTCAATTCTGGAACAAATGATACATTCTTACTGACACGCTTTGTCCATGTATCAATACTAAATTGTGTCAATGGGTCAGTGGGGTAAATATGGAAATAATTATGCACCTCATTTCCCCAATTTGACTGTTTTTCCCGATCCTTAAACATAAAAACGCGAATGTAAATGCGTTTTACAGAACAAAAGAACGAAAGACTAAAACTGTCTTTGGATCACTACTTATTCTTGTCAGGCCACCGCCATATAGCTGGAATATTGCTGAGAGCGGCGTAAAACTAAACTCACTCACTCACTACTCTTGTCAGGGTGTGGCAACTCTATTCATCTATTGATATTCTGTTCTCTTATTTTTAACAGAGTCAGTCTATCAGTTTGATATCAAATTTCGTGAAAAACTTTCTAAAAAAAGTTTTCTTTGCTTCTATATAAAAAAATTCTGCTTAATGATAAATGACAAATGTGTGATTATCGGAAATGTATTAAGGTATATTTCCAATTTCAGGATATCGAAACTGCGTTAACCTTGATATATCCCAGTGAAGTTGGAGATTCCTATGGAGTCTTTAGGTGTAGATATATAAGGGGAGTTAACTCTTGCCTTTCATCTCGATTTACACCTCAAGTTACAAAAATATCAGCAATGGCGAGGAGATCAATTTAACTCTGGATACTCAACCTGGAAGCTTAACCATTGCTACAACGTGGTTGATATTACCGTCTCTTTATTGCTAAAATCACTGTATCATATTGCCCTTGAACGTGATTTGTATTAATTTGTACTGACTGACTGAGTTTGGTTTTACGCCGCTTTTAGCAATATTCCAGCAACATCACGGCGGGGGACACCAGAAATGGGCTTCACACATTGTACCCATGTGGGGATTCGAACCCGGGTCTTCGGCGTGACGAGCCAACGCTTTTAACCACTAGGCTACCCCACCACCCGTATTAATTTGTAAAATTAGTAAATTTTAGAATACAGTTGTTAATTTCAACATGTTGCTTTGTTGGTTGTCGGTTTCACGCACAGTCCTTATACAGGTTCCAGGTTAACTACTGCACGTAACGGGGTGGTAGGGTAGCCTAATGGTTAAAGCATTGGCTCGTCACGTCGAAGACCCGGGTGAAGCCCATTTCTGGTGTCCCCCGCCGTGATATTGCTGGAATATTGCTAAAAGCGGCGTAAAAACATACTCACTCATTCCCTTACTTAAAGTTATGCAAAACGCTCAGAAATGTTTCACAAAACCAGTTTCGTCTGTTTTTATAATATGCGCGTTTGTTTACTGCCAAGAAATAATATCCTGCTACGTGGTTTGCGCTCAATAGTTTCTCAATAGTGTCCATCCCCCCTTTCTCAAAAAGTTGTATCCGCCCCTGCATAACTTTGAACACCCACCACTTTCGTCACATAATATGTTTCTGTTTTTTGCTAGTCTCGTAGTTTCCATTATTTTCTCAGAGCAACTATTATTTTCCCGATATTTCAATTATTTTCTTGCTACTTCGATTAGTTTCCATTTTTTCACCCCATATTCTATCATTTACACCAAGATAAGTGACAAAGTACCTGGGAATGTGAACTGTTTTGCTCACCGGAACTATACATACCAGGCATATATTTTATACTTACAAAAGACGCTTTACAAAACTTCTCATCCGATTTTGACATTTCACTTTGAATTACAGTCAGAGTTTGAAACATTTCTAAAATATGAATTACTGACAGAACTTAAGATTAACCTCTCGTTGAAGATTATTATAGCTGTACCATGTCGTTGAGAGAACGGTCGAATCTATATGGATCTTAATTATCGCTGTAGAGAAACTTGAGCCCGTGTCTGGTTCTGTCATGCCTAAAAACATAACATGCGAATTTAGGATTCGAACCCATTAACCTTACCCATCCGTCTCTGAACAGCCAATTACACTTTTTTTCACGATTGTCCCACACAGACTTTTGTTGGTGAAATGTACCGTACGTTTATATGGCAGTGCTTCTCTTTATCTTCAGGCGTTTGACCTTTACATTGTTTGTTTGTTTTTAACCCCACATGATGACGACATCATAATGATTACCTTGAGGAAGAAGGACGACGGGGAGGCTCCTTTGAAACAGTGCTGAGAACAAGAATGAAAGAAAGATGAAATAGAGACAGTAATATAAAAAATCATAACAGAAACGACCACAAATGTTAGGAAATAACATACAGATGTGAGGATTTTGTAGTTCGAGCTTTTGATTCTGGATTAATTACAAATCAAACAAGTGGATATTAAAGGACAAGCAGGAATATCAGACACCAGAGACTACAAACATTATGACAAAAACAGTACTGTTTTAAATCATTAAGAGCATTAAAGGCACAATGTCACACATTTTCAACAATATTTTTGCCTATATTTTATATATTGGGGGCATATGCACTCACTTTGGCTTCCTATTGATGCAATAAAAGACTCAATATCCCTTACGATTTGCATGAAATCGATAACTGAAACTTCGAGGCGAACAGCTTCCAAACAGATAACACTTGCCATAAATGGAACGTGAACGATTGCTCCGCACATCGAAAACTGTCGCACGCTGTGTTGTCGGTGTTTGCCGAACTGGCCTCATTCACAAGTTGCGTTATAAATAGGATAATAGTGAAAAGCGTTCTAAGGGACATAACGCTACGGGGTTCGCTTCAAATAATTGTCGGCTGGTAGAGGGCGCGAGAGTCGATTTAATGCAACGTTGCATGAATTCATTCCCTTACTTATAATTATGTAAAACGCTCAGAAATGTTTCACAAAGCCAGTTTCGTCTGTTTTCATAATGTGCGCGTTTGTTTACTGCTAAGAAAAAATATCATGCGACGTGATAATTACACAGTGGCAGAAGTGTTATGCAAAGTCACCACTCTGTGGAGGTACAGTCCGTTTGATTTCATTCGAGACCGATGAATTGCTTACTAACACAAAATCGTATGATTTGCACAGTCCCAAGAAATCGACAGACCAACTCTGATGATTGTCCTCATAACATAGGTGGATCCAGGGGGGTGGGTGGGGGGCAAGGGTGCGCACACACACACCCCTTTGCACTGAAAGTTTATTAAATGACCATTGAAACTCGGGTGAAAATGAAGTGTGCACCCTCCCTTTTCTCAATAGTGTCCATCCCCCCTTTCTCAAAAAGTTGTATCCGCCCCTGCATAACTTTGAACACCCACCACTTTCGTCACATAATATGTTTCTGTGTTTTGCTAGTCTCGTAGTTTCCATTATTTTCTCAGAGCAACTATTATTTTCCCGATATTTCAATTATTTTCTTGCTACTTCGATTAGTTTCCATTTTTTCACCCCATATTCTATCATTTACACCAAGATAAGTGACAAAGTACCTGGGAATGTGAACTGTTTTGCTCACCGGAACTATACATACCAGGCATATATTATATACTTACAAAAGACGCTTTACAAAACTTCTCATCCGATTTTGACATTTCACTTTGAATTACAGTCAGAGTTTGAAACATTTCTAAAATATGAATTACTGACAGAACTTAAGATTAACCTCTCGTTGAAGATTATTATAGCTGTACCATGTCGTTGAGAGAACGGTCGAATCTATATGGATCTTAATTATCGCTGTAGAGAAACTTGAGCCCGTGTCTGGTTCTGTCATGCCTAAAAAACATAACATGCGAATTTAGGATTCGAACCCATTAACCTTACCCATCCGTCTCTGAACAGCCAATTACACTTTTTTCACGATTGTCCCACACAGACTTTTGTTGGTGAAATGTACCGTACGTTTATATGGCAGTGCTTCTCTTTATCTTCAGGCGTTTGACCTTTACATTGTTTGTTTGTTTTTAACCCCACATGATGACGACATCATAATGATTACCTTGAGGAAGAAGGACGACGGGGAGGCTCCTTTGAAACAGTGCTGAGAACAAGAATGAAAGAAAGATGAAATAGAGACAGTAATATAAAAAATCATAACAGAAACGACCACAAATGTTAGGAAATAACATACAGATGTGAGGATTTTGTAGTTCGAGCTTTTGATTCTGGATTAATTACAAATCAAACAAGTGGATATTAAAGGACAAGCAGGAATATCAGACACCAGAGACTACAAACATTATGACAAAACAGTACTGTTTTAAATCATTAAGAGCATTAAAGGCACAATGTCACACATTTTCAACAATATTTTTGCCTATATTTTATATATTGGGGGCATATGCACTCACTTTGGCTTCCTATTGATGCAATAAAAGACTCAATATCCCTTACGATTTGCATGAAATCGATAACTGAAACTTCGAGGCGAACAGCTTCCAAACAGATAACACTTGCCATAAATGGAACGTGAACGATTGCTCCGCACATCGAAAACTGTCGCACGCTGTGTTGTCGGTGTTTGCCGAACTGGCCTCATTCACAAGTTGCGTTATAAATAGGATAATAGTGAAAAGCGTTCTAAGGGACATAACGCTACGGGGTTCGCTTCAAATAATTGTCGGCTGGTAGAGGGCGCGAGAGTCGATTTAATGCAACGTTGCATGAATTCATTCCCTTACTTATAATTATGTAAAACGCTCAGAAATGTTTCACAAAGCCAGTTTCGTCTGTTTTCATAATGTGCGCGTTTGTTTACTGCTAAGAAAAAATATCATGCGACGTGATAATTACACAGTGGCAGAAGTGTTATGCAAAGTCACCACTCTGTGGAGGTACAGTCCGTTTGATTTCATTCGAGACCGATGAATTGCTTACTAACACAAAATCGTATGATTTGCACAGTCCCAAGAAATCGACAGACCAACTCTGATGATTGTCCTCATAACATAGGTGGATCCAGGGGGTGGGTGGGGGCAAGGGTGCACATTGACACACACCCCTTGCACTGAAAGTTTATTAAATGACCATTGAAACTCGGGTGAAAATGAAGTGTGCACCCTCCCTTTTTCTCAATAGTGTCCATCCCCCCTTTCTCAAAAAGTTGTATCCGCCCCTGCATAACTTTGAACACCCACCACTTTCGTCACATAATATGTTTCTGTGTTTTGCTAGTCTCGTAGTTTCCATTATTTTCTCAGAGCAACTATTATTTTCCCGATATTTCAATTATTTTCTTGCTACTTCGATTAGTTTCCATTTTTTCACCCCATATTCTATCATTTACACCAAGATAAGTGACAAAGTACCTGGGAATGTGAACTGTTTTGCTCACCGGAACTATACATACCAGGCATATATTATATACTTACAAAAGACGCTTTACAAAACTTCTCATCCGATTTTGACATTTCACTTTGAATTACAGTCAGAGTTTGAAACATTTCTAAAATATGAATTACTGACAGAACTTAAGATTAACCTCTCGTTGAAGATTATTATAGCTGTACCATGTCGTTGAGAGAACGGTCGAATCTATATGGATCTTAATTATCGCTGTAGAGAAACTTGAGCCCGTGTCTGGTTCTGTCATGCCTAAAACATAACATGCGAATTTAGGATTCGAACCCATTAACCTTACCCATCCGTCTCTGAACAGCCAATTACACTTTTTCACGATTGTCCCACACAGACTTTTGTTGGTGAAATGTACCGTACGTTTATATGGCAGTGCTTCTCTTTATCTTCAGGCGTTTGACCTTTACATTGTTTGTTTGTTTTAACCCCACATGATGACGACATCATAATGATTACCTTGAGGAAGAAGGACGACGGGGAGGCTCCTTTGAAACAGTGCTGAGAACAAGAATGAAAGAAAGATGAAATAGAGACAGTAATATAAAAATCATAACAGAAACGACCACAAATGTTAGGAAATAACATACAGATGTGAGGATTTTGTAGTTCGAGCTTTGATTCTGGATTAATTACAAATCAAACAAGTGGATATTAAAGGACAAGCAGGAATATCAGACACCAGAGACTACAAACATTATGACAAAACAGTACTGTTTTAAATCATTAAGAGCATTAAAGGCACAATGTCACACATTTTCAACAATATTTTGCCTATATTTTATATATTGGGGCATATGCACTCACTTTGGCTTCCTATTGATGCAATAAAGACTCAATATCCCTTTACGATTTGCATGAAATCGATAACTGAAACTTCGAGGCGAACAGCTTCCAAACAGATAACACTTGCCATAAATGGAACGTGAACGATTGCTCCGCACATCGAAAACTGTCGCGACGCTGTGTTGTCGGTGTTTGCCGAACTGGCCTCATTCACAAGTTGGGCGTTATAAATGGGATAATAGTGAAAAGCGTTCTAAGGGACATAACGCTCACGGGTTCGCTTCCAAATAATTGTCGGCTGGTAGAGGGCGCGAGAGTCGATTTAATGCAACGTTGCATGAATTCATTCCCTTACTTATAATTATGTAAAACGCTCAGAAATGTTTCACAAAGCCAGTTTCGTCTGTTTTCATAATGTGCGCGTTTGTTTACTGCTAAGAAAAAATATCATGCGACGTGATAATTACACAGTGGCAGAAGTGTTATGCAAAGTCACCACTCTGTGGAGGTACAGTCCGTTTGATTTCATTCGAGACCGATGAATTGCTTACTAACACAAAATCGTATGATTTGCACAGTCCCAAGAAATCGACAGACCAACTCTGATGATTGTCCTCATAACATAGGTGGATCCAGGGGTGGGTGGGGGGGCAAGGTGCGCACACACACACCCCTTTGCACTGAAAGTTTATTAAATGACCATTGAAACTCGGGTGAAAATGAAGTGTGCACCCTCCCTTTTCTCAATAGTGTCCATCCCCCCTTTCTCAAAAAGTTGTATCCGCCCCTGCATAACTTTGAACACCCACCACTTTCGTCACATAATATGTTTCTGTGTTTTGCTAGTCTCGTAGTTTCCATTATTTTCTCAGAGCAACTATTATTTTCCCGATATTTCAATTATTTTCTTGCTACTTCGATTAGTTTCCATTTTTCACCCCATATTCTATCATTTACACCAAGATAAGTGACAAAGTACCTGGGAATGTGAACTGTTTTGCTCACCGGAACTATACATACCAGGCATATATTATATACTTACAAAAGACGCTTTACAAAACTTCTCATCCGATTTTGACATTTCACTTTGAATTACAGTCAGAGTTTGAAACATTTCTAAAATATGAATTACTGACAGAACTTAAGATTAACCTCTCGTTGAAGATTATTATAGCTGTACCATGTCGTTGAGAGAACGGTCGAATCTATATGGATCTTAATTATCGCTGTAGAGAAACTTGAGCCCGTGTCTGGTTCTGTCATGCCTAAAAACATAACATGCGAATTTAGGATTCGAACCCATTAACCTTACCCATCCGTCTCTGAACAGCCAATTACACTTTTTTCACGATTGTCCCACACAGACTTTTGTTGGTGAAATGTACCGTACGTTTATATGGCAGTGCTTCTCTTTATCTTCAGGCGTTTGACCTTTACATTGTTTGTTTGTTTTTAACCCCACATGATGACGACATCATAATGATTACCTTGAGGAAGAAGGACGACGGGGAGGCTCCTTTGAAACAGTGCTGAGAACAAGAATGAAAGAAAGATGAAATAGAGACAGTAATATAAAAAATCATAACAGAAACGACCACAAATGTTAGGAAATAACATACAGATGTGAGGATTTTGTAGTTCGAGCTTTTGATTCTGGATTAATTACAAATCAAACAAGTGGATATTAAAGGACAAGCAGGAATATCAGACACCAGAGACTACAAACATTATGACAAAAACAGTACTGTTTTAAATCATTAAGAGCATTAAAGGCACAATGTCACACATTTTCAACAATATTTTGCCTATATTTTATATATTGGGGCATATGCACTCACTTTGGCTTCCTATTGATGCAATAAAGACTCAATATCCCTTACGATTTGCATGAAATCGATAACTGAAACTTCGAGGCGAACAGCTTCCAAACAGATAACACTTGCCATAAATGGAACGTGAACGATTGCTCCGCACATCGAAAACTGTCGCCGCGCTGTGTTGTCGGTGTTTGCCGAACTGGCCTCATTCACAAGTTAGCGTTATAAATAGGATAATAGTGAAAAGCGTTTCTAAGGGACATAGCGCTCTACGGGGTTAAACTACTTCAAATAATTGTCGGCTGGTAGAGAGCGAGAGTCGATTTAATGCAGCGTTGCATGAATTCATTCCCTTACTTATAATTATGTAAAACGCTCAGAAATGTTTCACAAAGCCAGTTTCGTCTGTTTTCATAATGTCGCGTTGTTTACTGCTAAGAAAAATATCATGCGACGTGATAATTACACAGTGGCAGAAGTGTTATGCAAAGTCACCACTCTGTGGAGGTACAGTCCGTTTGATTTCATTCGAGACCGATGAATTGCTTACTAACACAAAATCGTATGATTTGCACAGTCCCAAGAAATCGACAGACCAACTCTCTGATGATTGTCCTCCATAACATAGGTGGATCCAGGGGTGGGTGGGGGGCAAGGGTGCGCACACACACACCCCTTTGCACTGAAAGTTTATTAAATGACCATTGAAACTCGGGTGAAAATGAAGTGTGCACCCTCCCTTTTCTCAATAGTGTCCATCCCCCCTTTCTCAAAAAGTTGTATCCGCCCCTGCATAACTTTGAACACCCACCACTTTCGTCACATAATATGTTTCTGTGTTTTGCTAGTCTCGTAGTTTCCATTATTTTCTCAGAGCAACTATTATTTTCCCGATATTTCAATTATTTTCTTGCTACTTCGATTAGTTTCCATTTTTTCACCCCATATTCTATCATTTACACCAAGATAAGTGACAAAGTACCTGGGAATGTGAACTGTTTTGCTCACCGGAACTATACATACCAGGCATATATTATATACTTACAAAAGACGCTTTACAAAACTTCTCATCCGATTTTGACATTTCACTTTGAATTACAGTCAGAGTTTGAAACATTTCTAAAATATGAATTACTGACAGAACTTAAGATTAACCTCGTTGAAGATTATTATAGCTGGACCATGTCGTTGAGAGAACAGTCGAATCTATATGGATCTTAATTATCGCTGTAGAAACTCCAGCCCGTGTCTGGTTCTGTCATGCCTAAAAAACATAACAAGCGAATTTAGGATTCGAAACCCATTAACCTTACCCATCCGTCTCTGAACAGCCAATTACACTTTTTCACGATTGTCCCACACAGACTTTTGTTGGTGAAATGTACCGTACGTTTATATGGCAGTGCTTCTCTTTATCTTCAGACGTTTGACCTTTTACATTGTTTGTTTGTTTTAACCCTACATGATGACGACATCATAATGATTACCTTGAGGGAAGAAGGACGACGGGGAGGCTCCTTTGAAACAGTGCTGAGAACAAGAATGAAAGAAAGATGAAATAGAGACAGTAATATAAAAAATCATAACAGAAACGACCACAAATGTTAGGAAATAACATACAGATGTGAGGATTTTGTAGTTCGAGCTTTTGATTTCTGGATTAATTACAAATCAAACAAGTGGATATTAAAGGACAAGCAGGAATATCAGACACCAGAGACTACAAACATTATGACAAAAACAGTACTGTTTTAAATCATTAAGAGCATTAAAGGCACAATGTCACACATTTTCAACAATATTTTTGCCTATATTTTATATATTGGGGGCTTATGCACTCACTTTGGCTTCCTATTGATGCAATAAAAGACTCAATATCCCTTACGACTTGCATGAAATCGATAACTGAAACTTCGAGGCGAACAGCTTCCAAACAGATAACACTTGCCATAAATGGAACGTGAACGATTGCTCCGCACATCGAAAACTGTCGCACGCTGTGTTGTCGGTGTTTGCCGAACTGGCCTCATTTACAAGTTGCGTTATAAATAGGATAATAGTGAAAAGCGTTCTAAGGGGCATAACGCTATGGGGGTTCGCTTGAAATAATTGTCGGCCGGTAGAGGGCGCGAGAGTCAATTTAATGCAACGTTGCATGAATTCATTCCAACCTTTTAATTTAATATTGCAACCTAAATAAATATGTATCTATTTTTTGGAATTAAGTATATGGTAGCTTCCCCGAGGGCTGATAGTTAGTATTACTGAGAGAAATGCATTATGTATTTTTAGAGAAATGTGATGTGACATTGTGCCTTTAAATATAAACAGAGGTATGAGAAATAGCAAAAAGACATTGTCACTCTTGTGAGCCGAATGTGAGCTTTTATTCTTTAACCCAATAAAATACTATGATTTCAATACGCTATTTCTCTAAACCTTTAATAACATTTTGATACAAAGGCAATGCTAAGTATCACCACATGTGGTAGATCAGTTTCTAGGATGTTTACTCGGAAGCGAGAGTTATGGTGACATCCATATTACTTTTCCATTTTTAGGGAAATATTGTGGATATCGGGTGCTACATTTAAGACAGGATATGCTTACCCTTTTGGGGAACACCTGGTGTCATCTGATATGAACTAATGTACACATTTGGTGCTTTGGTATCGTTTCCCAAAAAGCAGGAACGTTAATACTCTGAAATGTGTTTTGTTTGTGACATACAAGTCATACAAGTCATACAAGTCACAAACATCAACAAGTCGACTGTTGGTAGGGTTATCTCCTATTTGACAGACACCCATTTGACAGACACCCAGTTGGCAGACACTGAGCAAGAAGGTTAATTAGGGTAACACCTACGGGTATAATGGAACAGTCCACAGTCTAGTGAGAGGAGGAGGCTGAGGTTCGTTATTGAGAAGCTTGGTTTGGTTGAGTGTAAACAAAACTTTGTTGTGATTAAATGATAATCTGTTTTCTCTTCTCGAAGTTGTTTTTACTATCAATTACTATCGAATAGAGGTTTGTCACTGTGTTTAACTTGGTCGCCGATTAATGATAATCTGTCTTCTCTCCTCACTTAGTATCAATTGATCTTTGTATGAGGAAGGATTAATTAATTAATTTTATCAATAGACTAATTTTAAATTTGACTCAACAAATATATAAAATGGTGAAAAGCATATCTGTTCGATATCAATATGGCTGGAGTGCGGAGGGTGGAGTATCTGATGTCACAGAGAGGGGCCCCTCAAATTGTTCTGGATGGTTATGTTGACACCAAAAATAAGGTCAGACAGACCTGCACCCACTGGAGATGCATCGACAAGACCTCCAGGGGGAGGTGTTCTTCCATCTTTCACCGCCGCAAGACCATGCCAGCGTTACCTACCACCCTCCGAGAAGTGGATTTGGAAGACAGTTGGACAGAGACATGTGATGGACGTCGTTTCCTTCTTCTTTCTGATGGAGAACAAGACAAGATCTTAGTGTTCTCTACCACTGAACATCTCCAGGTGCTGCAGACCGCCGATACCATCTACATGGATGGAACTTTCACTGCCTGCCCTGAGCTTTGGGATCAGGTTTACATAATTCATGCCCGTTGCAACTCTGTGTCATACCCCTTAGTCTTTGCCCTTCTGCCTGATCGTCAAACCACCACCTACGTTAGACTGTTCCGCCTCCTCAAGGAGAAGGTGTTGGAGGAACTGAATCGTCCCCCTGGCCCCAGCGAAAATACAGACAGATTTTGAGCTTGCCACCATCCGAGCCATCGGGATGGAATTTCCAAATGCAGAGACCAAGGGATGCTTCTTCCACTTTTCCCAAGCCCTGTGGAGGAAGACACAAGATCTAGGTCTCACAGTTGCATACAAGGAGGATCCAGCAGTAAAAGAGTTCATCAGGAGAGCAGCTGCCCTTGCCTTATTGCCACAAGATCAGGTTCAAGACACCTGGATTGATGCCATGGACTCCTCCCCAGCCTCTGACCGCATTGAGGACTTCAAGGATTACATTGTCGTCACATGGGTGGACTATGACGCCCGATTCCAACTGTCACTTTGGAACCATCACAACACTGTAGGACCAAGGACCAACAACAACTTGGAAGGTTTCCACAGTCGGATGAACATATCTCTTCCACACCGCCACCCCAACATATTCGCTTTGTGGAAGTAATTCGGAGGATCGAGATGGCTGACAGAGCCAAGCTGAGACAACTCGACTTTGGGGCTGCTCCTCCAAGTCGCAAGCGAGTCTACAGAGAGATCGACAACAGGATCCTGAGGCTCAAAGACACACTGAGTCGCGGCGAGAAAACTCCTCTTCAGTTCCTAGATGCGGTGGCCAACCTCATAAAACTTGGCTAACAAGACATGAACTTTACTGGACTTGCTATAACTTGTTTAAGTGGCATTTAGAAGGTGGTGTGATGAACAACAAGGAGAGTTCTATGGATATACACCTTCTATGGAACAGCAGCAATGTATTCACCAGCAATCACACCCACTACAAGATCAGAAAGCTACTAGAAGCCATTCACATCAAGAGACTCCAACCGACCATGAACAGAGACCAAGGATATTACATCCCCACTGCCTACAACCAACTCATCACCAAGCAATCTTAATCCTATTATTCTCCTGTCTGTAGTATCACTGGCTTCCTCCCTTAATCCCCCATAGCTTACTATGGTTGGGTAACTATTGGCCTCTTATGTAAACATCTACCACCTTGTACATCTACCTCATTAATTGTGTAAACATCATCACTCACTGTTCAACTTTACTATGTATACAAATATACCTTGCATCTAGTATTGTACATCATTTGCTTGATAACGGTGTTAGTAGCTACACCGAAACGTCGCTCATATCATATTAAAGAAGGTGTATATCCATAGAACTCTCCTTGTTGGACTTGCTATAACTAAGTTTTAATTAGATCTATAAATACAGATAAAATATTGCTATGTCAAAGATATATCTACTTGAAGCTACTGTGCTACTATTATGCATTGTTATTTGAAAAATATTATATTCTTGTTATCAAATAAATATTAGATTTTTTTCTTGTGTTTTTATTTGGACTATTCGATTATAATGTGTAGGTAACAGGTAGTTGCTCATCTGTTCATTGAACCGTAAATGTTGTTGTTTTAAGGTGTCTGCGTACTGGCTGTCCGCGTAATGGGAGGACACCGTTGGTAGTATAGTGGTAAATGGAGCCCGAGCCCGTTTATTACATCGCTGGAAATATTATTATCATAGTCATAGGCGTAGTGTCCCGGTGTATTCTAACCTCTAGGACGTTCCAACCTTTAATCCCCACGGGATGCAGATTTATCAAAGAACATACTACAGATGCTGTTTACCGAGTGAGTGAGGTGGGTTTTACGCCGCTTTTAGCAATATTCCAGCAGTATGACGGCGAAGGACACCAGAAATGGGCTTCACAAATTGTACCCATTTTGGAAATCGAACCCGGATCTTAGGCGTGATGAGCGAACGCTTTAACCAGTAGGCTACCCAACCGCCCTGAGTTTACCGAGACGAAGGATGACCTTGTGATCGGATGAAGAAAAACTCCTCTTTGACAACTGCTCACTCAAAGTGACAAAGTAGAGAGCGGTTTGTGTCATTATACACATTGTCAAACGTATATTGAAGACAAGATGAAGGTTACCTAGGAGAACGAGATGGAGACAAAGCTGGAGGAGACCTCGATGAAGAAGGCAGTGGAGAAGACAGATGAGTCCTTTCACTGAGCCTTTAAACAAACATTGAAGGTCAACTCTCATTATTTCTTTGAAACTATCTTACAGAAACAATGCCATGGGCATGAGTTGATTCCAATACATATTACTACGGATATGACGAAAAAACAGAAAATATGCTTCTGCACCACTGCATAAAATGTTGTCGGTTGCTTCCTATAGGTCATGCGAGTGAGTGAGTGAGTGAGTGAGTTTAGTTTTACGCCGCACTCAGCAATATTCCAGCTATATGGTGGCGGTCTGTAAATAATCGAATCTGGACCAGACAATCCAGTGATCAACATCATGCGCATCGATCTGCGCAATTGGGATACGATAACATGTGTCAACCAAGTCAGCGAGCCTGACCACCCGATCAAGTTAGTCGCCTCTTACGACAAGCATGGGTTTCTGAAGGTTCATTCTAACCCAGACCTTCACGGGTCTAATAGGTCATGTACGGTGAGGAGAAGAAAGCAACAGACGAAGTTGGAGGTGTCGAGGAAGGAGTTGGAGAAGGAAGATGATACCTCTCATTCATCCTTTATGCTTAAAATGAATGTCACCTATCAATATTACCCTTCTATATCAATATTACCTTTCTATATCAATATTACCTTTCTATATCAATATTACCCTTCTATATCAATATTACCTTTCTATAGCAATATTATACCCTTCTATATCAATATTACCCTTCTATATCAATATTACCCTTCTATATCAATATTATCCTTCTATATCAATATTACCCTTCTATATCAATATTACCTTTCTATATCAATATTACCCTTCTATATATATTACATAACAGATGAAATGTTTAAATGCATATAATGAGTCGATTCAGACTAATGGAGATGAACCAAGTATGAATATAATACCAGTTGACACGATGCTGACGAAGTTACAGTGTCAACCAGTTATGTCGAAAGAGAGTGATGACAACAACTCACACAACAACAAACTTGATGCAGTCCCTGGCGTGGATCTTGTACTGCAAATGAAGAAAACTTGTCAATCTATGTCAACAGTTTATCTCTCCTTATTAAACGACCTTAGGCTCATGTTACACATTACACTTCAGCGGTGGTGGTTGATTATGAATTATATGGAATTGTCTAAACCACTGTTTTGCGCACACGCACACACACACGCACACACACGCACACACAGAGTTGTATACACACATGCATGCACACATACATACATACATACATACATACATACATACATACATACATACATACATACATACATACATACATACATACATACATACATACATACATACATACATACATACATACATAGTTTGTGATTAATGTTATGTTTGCACATGTTTTCAGAGAAATATTGCTCAAGATAATTACCACAGGTATTACCTAATTTAGGCCAGGTAAGCAGGAAATGATAAGCATATTCGATCCGAATTAACTACACATTGTTACACATCCGCTTCTATCTGTCCTTTAGATTTGTGCTTACAACATCAATGACTGGTTTGTCTGTTCCAGCTCAGACTCGACTTTTACTGGACTATTTCTGATTTTGGTGTGAAATGCCATACAAATCAACCAGATCAGAATGAAAATGTGTACCTTCTTGTGTTTCCCGTCCAAATCTATGAAATATGCAGATGTGCCTCTGATGGGTGTATTCCATTGTCCTCGTTTGATGAACCAGAAGAAGATCCCTCTGTCACCCGGTTCTTCCACCACACGTGCAAGATGGTTTGACAAGTCCTTAAACTAGAGGGTAAAGCCTTTGTTAATCATGCATGCATTTTTTTCCGAAACGCAAAAGGTTATTATCTGTTTGGAGATTTGTTCAGTGGTTTGTATGAGCATCAGATCCGACCTTCAGTATTCCAACACTGAATGAAGACGGCTTGCTCTACAGATACCCTCAATAATCCCAGTCTTGCTAAAACACCATCGATGTACCCATCATTCTCTCTACACTTAGCCATCTGTGATTACCATTCTCGCCCCAACGATCTCTCTGAAACCCACACGTCTCAACATTTTCTTCACTAACAGAACACTGTCACTAAACAACGGCCCCTGTTACCCAAACATTCGCCACATATTGCCCTATGTTTACTAACACTTTTTCTGACACAAACCTATCGACTATATCCTAAAGTCCTAGGGGCTTCTTCAATAGATTTCTCTGTAACTCAATACGTTTGTTCCAAAGACTCGTATGCAACTCCGTGTTTTGTTCAACAGACCCCCTGAACCCCTTGTTCCACAGACTCCGATACCTCTGAAAACCTTTATTCCACGGACTCCTATGCAATTCAAAATCGTGTTCAGTAGACCCGTCTGTAACTCAAAGCCTCTTTTCAAAGGACTCTTATTCCACAATATCTTTTGCAACTCAAAACTCTTGTTCCACATGGAACTCAAAGTCCTTCTCAACCGACCCATCTGCAAGCAAAAGCTCTTGTTCCCTAGATACCACTCTGACTCAAAATGCTTTTTCCCAGGTGCCTGTATAACTCAAATCTCTTGTGCAACACACCCATAAGCACCTAAAACAGTTTCCACCACAGACTATTTAGGCTCCCTTTTGCTATTTTTTTAGATTCTACATAACGAAACCTCTTGTAACCAGAACCCCTCTTGAATTGTGTCAGTCATATTTGAAATACAATTAATTAATTATTCAAATTGCTACTGGTTGCTTTACTCTGTGAAAATAGAAGCACCTTCCTGGAAGGTTCCTCATCAGGGAGATCAAGGTGTATAGCAACGACAGCAGGGGAGAACGGCGATCTCCGTCGGACACGCTCCAGCCTGGCCCTCCCCTTGCAAAGGCAGACACCGTCTCGAATATTCACGCTGATAAGGGGGCGGGGGATGTCCTGTAAGGAAAGGTAAACCAGATATTCAGTCTGTGAACATTTAGCTTCACTCAATGCTGGGGCGGTGGGGTAGCCTAGTGGTTAAAGCGTTCGCTCGTCACGCTGAAGACCCGGATTCGATTCCCCACATTGGTACAATGTGTGAAGCCCATTTCTGGTGCCCCCCGCCGTGATATTGCTGGAATATTGCTTAACCTTCGGAATCAACGTATGAGTAGCATGTACCTACCACAGTACAAGGGCGTCTAATCCTGTGTGTGAGGTAGATGCCATTAGAAAGACCCAACATGAAGCCAGAGGCCGATGCATTCTCACTGCTGCAGTTTCTCCTTCTTCTTGGGTTAACATTTATGTCCAGGGACAAGCTGGGTCCGTTTGCTGAAGTCATAACGATGTTGGGGTTTTGTAACAAGTGTCACGGCACATCTCAACTCAGTTGAGTTATTTACTATAAAACAAGTGTGTAATGCTAAGTCGGTCGTCACGACACATCTCAACTCAGTTGAGTTATTTACTATAAAACTAGTGTGTAACGCTAGGTCGGTCGTCACAACCAGCACGCATACCACTCGCATATCACTCTCTCTTCTCAGTGTCTTCCTCCATTCCATCTGCTAATACTACATCCAGCTCCATACTCAGCCCCCCTCCCCCCTCTAAACCCCCCAAACCACGTTCCATCCAACACCCCTCCAAACCTACCCACCCACCACCCACTAAAACTACAACCCCCTGCACCCACCCAACCACGCACAAAACCCATCAAAACTAAACAACCACTCCTACCCACACACCCCCACACACCCCACACACCCCCAAACCCCGCCCTAACACTGCCCCACCACCTCCCAAGCCCACAAACCAACCCCCACCTACCAATACTACTCTCCCCAAACCACCCACCACCCTAGCTATCCAACCCCACCTCCACACAGCCAAAAACACACTGCTCCCCCACACAAACCCAACCTCACGCTCACACCACAAAAATTAAATCAAAACCTCACCAAGCTCATAGAATTCATATCTGCAGCCATTCTACTCAAAGATCCCACAGCTAAAAAACTACATACCCTCGCCCACAAACTCAAACTCTACCACAGGGGTCTAGCCAGCCTCCTTATCGCTATCAAAAACCTCTCTTAAACCTTTCCAACCACTAAGCTGCCCTAGCCACCAACAACCTATTGCAAATTATGCCCCAACCCACGGTCTTTATTAATCTACTGCTACAAATTACTGCAACCATGGCTATATTACAGTGGAACCAAATTATCAACTAAAAATGCCTTCAAAATACCAGGCTATATTTTCATTCGGAAAGATAGACCTCGGCCAGTAAATATTCCCCCCCCCCCCCCTGCCGGGAAGGCCTGGGCTTCTTTATAACAGAGCAATTAAATTATACCACTTTCGACATCCCCACCCAAGATCTTGAAGTCCTAGCTATTAAAACAAAACTCAATAATAAAGAATTTACCATCATAAACGTATATAGAAGACCCGCCCACAAAATCACTATTAATGATTTAGAAATTCTGCCCAAATTCATAAGTCCATATACCATTATCCTCGGAGATTTCAACACACACCATCAACTGTGGGGCACAAGACCTTTCACCGACATTAATGGGACTCTATTTTGGCTAGACAAACACAACCTAAGCACACTAAACGACAACCAACCTACAAGATACCCACTCTCCCACCTACATTCACCCACAACAATAGATACCACACTCACTACACCTAAACTTACACAATCTTGTATAACGGGGGTCCACAATGACACCTGGGGCAGTGACCCCATCCAAATTACAATCCCATCACATACACACCCCACACCTACAAACACCACCAACAACATCCAATCCACACCTCCTGAACTCAAATTCAACCTAAAAAATGCAGACTGGTATAAATTTACCACACTCTGCAAACAACTAGACACTACTAGCATCTACAACCACGACATAAACACATTCAACAACAACTACACAAACCTACTGGGCTGGAGCCCAACACAACCCCATCTTCAAACTAATTACAAACAGATACAACAACATAAAAAAATCAACACTTAAAAAAATCAAAATAAAGCCAAGTATAGCTCCATGCCTTACCCACCTTACCAGTCTGCTACATGTCCAACAGTTAAACACCATACCTCACACACCTCCCATTACAAGCTACATCCACGACAAACCACCACCACCCACAGACACCACTTTAGCCTCCACACTACAAAACCTGCCAAACAACACCGATATACACACCAAATTAAATATTATAAACAACCATATTCAAACAAACTACCCTGCATACACCCACATCTACATAGATGCATCCATCAACAAAAACAATAAAACAGGCATAGGTATACATGTAGATTAACACACACACACACACACACACACACACACACCCCACTAACAACAAACCTGCACTACTCAAACTACACCACTATTAACACAGCCGAACTAACTGCAATCCACTCAACACTACACCTAATACCATCAATTCAACAAACAAACTTTCTCATACTCTCCGACTCTCTCACCTCTATCAAACAAATACAAAATATGCACTCAAAATCACGCCCTGACTTAATGCATAATATTATAATACAAACAGACTCACTCAAACGCTTAAACAAAAAACATAACATTCATATGGATACCCAGCCACACCAACATTCCAGGAAATATCACTGCAGACACAGCCGCCAAGCTAGCAACCACACACAACACACCTAGCATCAATTTCCACACATCCAAAACAGAACTCAAACAACTTATTAAAACAAATATATCCAAATTAAACTTCCAGCACAACATAAATACTAATAAATCAACATGGGTTAAAAACATCATCAAAACACCTATCAGCAAACTTCCTACATTCTCCAATATCAAAAACAGTGACATTTGCATAAACCGACTAATCACAGGCATCACAAATCTCAATTATACACTATAAACAAAACAGACACCCAGATGGACTCTGCTCCCACTGCAACACACCAGAAGACATTAACCACATATTCACACAATGCCACCTACAACAAACAAACATCACACAACTACATAGCAGTATACCATCTAAATACCACAATAATATACATTTACTTTTTAATCCCCTCAACCCGCCCACTATCTTCCACGCCATAGCCACCTTCCTACAAAACTCGAACCTAATCCATAAAATTTAGAACCTCCAAAAACAAATCTCCATTACACTACCTCTCAATAGCTGATATATTTAGACTAGGCTTCAAAACTTCATTTATCCATACTATTACTCTATTACCAACATAAGCCTACTATACCTGGGAATCAATTTCACTTATCCAAAGGGTCTTATTTCTGCTACGACGTCCGCGCCCTCTCTCAGCCAATCAGTAGCCACTAAACTGTAAACAAACCAGTACAACCTCTCCAGTACAAGGTCACGGCCTCTCAACCCAGCCAGCACACTCACATTTTATACATACCCACCCCCACCCCCACCCCCCAATTATGCCCTATATTTACATGTTATTTTTAGTTTAACTCTATCTCTCATTTATTAACAATCACTGCGTTTTTTTCCCATTTCTTTCCCTTTTATAACTTCGGTTTTTATTTTATTTTTTAATCTTATTTCTAAACGTTTCTATTCTAAATTAGTCTAGGTTAATGCCCCTACATTTACATTTTTTGCTTTACTCCTTATTACCAGCTATTTATAATTTAATGTTAATACCCACCCGCCCCGTCGGCGAAATTGGCGCCCGCCAGAAGCCGACGCTAAACCATCAAACTCGTCAGGTCGGTCGTCATAACACATCTCAACTCAGTTGAGTTATGTACTAACTAGCGTATAACGCTAGGTCGGTCGTCACTACACATCTCAAGTCAGCCAATTGAGAGTTATTTTCTAACAAATGTATAACGCTATGTTGATCACATCTCACATGTACCGGTTTGGTCTTTTTTAGTATATCACATAAGGCAAATATATCCACGATTTCCGTGGATGGACTTACCAACCGCCCATCGCCTTCGCTCCTGCAAATCACGCCACACATCCAGACCCCACACCCGATCCTTGCCCCAGTAAATCAACCGATTCTTCATGTCCCGGATGTCTTTCTCAGGCAGATAATAGTCAGAGTAGATCTTTTGGTTGAAACAACGAGACATTGTGTTAGTAACAGATATCTTGGAACGGCTGTGCGTCATATGAAGGTGCTGATTTCGTCAATACGAGGGATATTTCTAGGGATGCATACCTGAGGAGGACTGTGATACTTTAGTGAAACCAATATGAAACCAATGTGAAACCAACGTGAAACCAATGAGGGAGGTTCGATCCTGGAAGACTAATAGAAAACGATACGACCTTCTGTGAGTGAATAGTTCTGGAACCTGCCAGTACTAACGCTGATGAGACACCAATGACGTTTACTTTTCATTACTAATGCGGATGATGTACCCTGGACGTTGACAATGCAACATCATTGCAGATGTTGCACGAGAGACTTTATTTTAACGACACAGACGGAGAGGTCAAGCATCATTTACACTTTTATACTTATATGTGAAATTATACCTATTGTGTCCATTGTAACGAATTAAAGTGAGTGATTATAGTTTTACGCCGCACTCAGCTATATTCCAGCTATATGGTGGCGGTCATGATCAACACCATGAGCATAGTTCTACGCAAGTGGGGTACGATGACATGTGTCAACCAAGTCAGCGAGTCTGACCACCCGATCCTGTTAGTCGCCTCTTACGACAAGCATGGGTTACCGAAGATCAATTCGAACCCGGATTTAACGAATAAGAGCTTTTCCCACAAAGCCACCAAAAGTCATCCAAAAATGCGTCATAAGCTTATTAACTTCCATCAGATATCTAAATACAGGTTTACACTAATAAAACGTCTGTAGGGGCGGTGGGGTAGCCTAGTGGTTAAAGCGTTGGCTCGTCATGCCGAAGACCCGGGTTCGATTCCCCACATGGGCACAATGTGTGAAGCCTATTTCTGGTGTCCCCCGCCATGATATTGCTGGAATGTTGCAAAACGCGGCGTAAAACTAAACTCAATAAAACGTCTGTAAAAGGTAGGTATAATACGTGACTGGCGAAACAATTAGAGGAAGAATGGTTTGTTTCTTTTTCCTTCTTTCAACTGTCGTCAGAATAATTGATGATCAACGGATGGCTGGTTATACATAATGCTGCAGCGCAGGCTGATAACCTGTGCACGGATGTAGATCCATAGCAACGACACTGACATGGCAACACTTGGGCTCAGCATGGCTTGAGATGGCATGGCAATAGCACATAAACATCACGTTGTAGCATAGGTGTTGGGTCGTGGGCCTTGAGTGTAATGTGCAACACAGATGGGAACTGGGTTCGTGGGCCTTGAGTGGAATGTTGAACACACAGATGGGCCGTGGGGTCGTGGGCCTTGTGTAGTGTGCAACACAGATGGGAACTGGGTTCGTGGGCCTTGAGTGGAATGTGGAACACACAGATGGGCCGTGGGTTCTTGGGCCTCGAGCGGAATGCGGAACATACAACTGGGTCGTGGTATGGTGGGCTTTCAGTGGAATGTGGAACACACAGATGGCCTGTGGGTTGGTGGGCTTTCAGTAGAATGTGGATCACACAACTGGGTCGTGGGGTCGCGGGCCTTAAATGCAATGTTGAACACACAGATGGGCCGTTGGGTCGTGGGCCTTGAATGAATGTCGAACACACAACTGGGTTGTGGGCCTTGTGTGGAATGTGGAACACACAGATGGGTCGCGGGCCGTGAGTAGTATGTGGAGCACACAACTGGGTCGTGGCCTTGGATGGATTGTCGAACACACAACTGGGTCGTGTGGTCGTGGCCTTGAGTGGATTGTGGAACACACAGGTGGGTCGTGGGTCCATGGACTTTGAATAGATTGTGGAACACAGAGATGGATCGTTGGGTCGTTGGCCTTCAGTGGAATGTGGAGCACACAAGTGGGTCGTGGGATCGTGGGCCTTGAGTCGAAAGGGCAACACACAGATGGGTTGTGGGTTCTTGGGCCTGTAGGGAAAGGTGGAATACACTGATAAGCCATGGATTCATGGGCCTTGAGTGGAAAGTGGACCTTACCAATGGGTTGTGGGTTAGTGGGCCTATAGTGAACAGTAGACCTTAACGATAAGCAGTGGGTTTACGGGCCTTGAGGGGTATGTAGAACACACCTATGGGCCTCGAGTGGAACGTGGATCACAGTGGAAAGTGGAACACGTGTGTGTTTTAGGACTTTCTGATCTTGAGTGCAAAGTGGAACACACCCATGGACCTTGTGTTCAATGTGGTACCATCCCATGGTCCTTGAGTGGAATGCGGAATGTGGAACACAACCTTGCGCCTTGAGTGCAATGTGGATCACAGTGGAAGGTGGAACACGTGTGTATTTTAGGACTTTCTGATAAAGAACACAGGAACTGTTCAACTGTGAGAATATACTCACTGTCGTCACAATGTTGGTTTCTGGATAATGAACACAGGAACTATTCAACTGTGAGAATATACTCACTGTCGTAACAATGTTGGTTTCTGGATAATGAACACAGGAACTATTCAACTGTGAGAATATACTCACTGTCGTCACAATGTTGTTTTCTGGATAATGAACACAGGAACTATTCAACTGTGAGAATATACTCACTGTCGTCACAATGTTTGTTTCTGGATAATGAACACAGGAACTATTCAACTGTGAGAATATACTCACTGTCGTAACAATGTTGGTTTCTGGATAAGGAGCACAGGAACTATTCAACTGTGAGAATATACTCACTGTCACAATGTTGGTTTCTAGATAATGAACACAGGAACTATTCAACTGTGAGAATATACTCACTGTCGTCACAATGTTGTTTTCTGGATAATGAACACAGGAACTATTCAACTGTGAGAATATACTCACTGTCGTCACAATGTTGTTTTCTGAATAATGAACACAGGAACTATTCAACTGTGAGAATATACACACTGTCGTCACAATGTTGTTTTCTGGATAATGAACACAGGAACTATTTTACTATCTGAATATACTCAATGTCGTCACAATGTTGTTTTCTGGATAATGAACACAGGAACTATTCAACTGTGAGAATATACTCATTGTTGTCACAATGTTGTTTTCTGAATAATGAACACAGGAACTATTCAACTGTGAGAATATACTCACTGTCGTCACAATGTTGTTTTCTGGATAATGAACACAGGAACTATTCTACTATCTGAATATACTCACTGTCGTCACTATGTTGTTTTCTTGATAATGAACACAGGAACTATTCAACTGTGAGAATATACTCACTGTCGTAAGAATGTTGGTTTCTGGATAATGAACACAGGAACTATTCTACTATCTGAATATACTCACTGGTATTCTGGGGCGCGACCATATGGCATGGCAGTACAGTTGAACATCCACCATGATGTAGTCGCCTGTACTCAACCTTCCCTTCTTTAATCTATCAATCTCCTCTTCTTTAAGCCACCAACCTCCCCTTCTTTAATCCATCAATCTCCTCTTCTTTAAGCCACCAATCTCCTCTTCTTTAATCCATCACCTCCTCACAACGACAAGGAACCCACTCTATGTGTTGCGCTGCGATTTGAACGATACCGTCAACCGAACGAAATTATATCACCTAATCTCTAGTATTGATCAGCTAGTTGCATGTGACACTGTTCCTTTGACAAGTACAGTCACATTCCCTTTAGTTGCTATGGCAGGTTAAAGCATGATCAGCGAAACTATGTCGTCCGTCGCTGATCGGGTTGCACGTAACTTGGTGAGGTGAGGTGAGGTGAAATGGGGTTAACGTTGTAGTTGAGAATATTTCGCTCATATGACGACGTGCATGCGTGTGCATGTGTGGCTGCTTGTACTAGGCCAGACTTAAGCTGGTTTTATAGTGCTAGCCCATTGAGATACCATGCCGCAGTTAAGCATGAATACCCAACTCAAACACATTATACTGACTCCGAGCCGACCAGTCCTTGTTGTACCCATTAATGCTGAGCGCCAGGCATACCAACAAGTGTCATTTATTTTTGGTTTGTACATGATTGGGCGTTTTGACGATTTAAAATAAGGTCTCTCCTTCGATTTATGTTGACACTCAATTTTTTTCAGTCACCGCTTGAAGACGTAAAATTCTGTTACTTTGAAAGCGGGATCAATGTTCAGTGAACGATATTATCAGGTGCTTGAAACCATGGAAAAGATGAAACAGTTTGGCAGTTTGTGATTGTGATTATTTGTTTACGGAGATATCAACGTGTACATTAGGATTAGCATCACAACTATCAGATAAATAGACTTAGAGGTTTCGGTGTAAACTGCAGTAAATTCAGGATAATACAGAAAATCACAACTTATTACAGGATGTGGGACAATGTGAAGTGAGTGAGTGAGTTTAGTGAATGTAGTGAATGAGTTTAGTGAATGTGTTTAGTGAATGAGTTTAGTGAATGTGAGTGAATAAGTTTAGTGAATGAGTTTAGTGAATGAGTTGAGTTTTACGCCGCTTTTAGCATTCGCGCAACATCACGGCGGTGGACACCAGAAATTGGCTTCACGCATTGTACCTACGTGGGGAATCGAACCCGGGTCTTCGGCGCGACGAGTGAACGCTTTAACCACTAGGCTACCCCACTTTTCGTACAATGTGAAGGTCTATAGTTGTAGCTTAATACAGATTATGCCAATACTAATATGGTTAGTCCGCATTGTGAATACTATCATAACACATGTAAACGTTGTAAAACGAAATACATCATATGTCAGTATCTCCGCAGTGGCCATGTTAAACGAGGTCATAGGCCTTTCAACGTTAGAGGGGCTGAAATGGTCAAGTTAACATTTGAGGGTCTCGATGGTGTTTGTGAAAACACTATCCTTTCTCTTCGTGTGAAGTCTTCCTGGCTGAGGTGATCAGGAGAGACTAGACAATCAGTGTAACTATGTAATCTTATACCCGTGAAGATCCGGGTAGGAATTGATCTTCAGCAACCCGTGCTTGACGTAAGAGGCAACTAACGGGATCGGGTGGTCAGGCTCACTGACTTGGTTGACACATATCATCGTATTCCAGTTGCGTAGTTCGATCCTCATGCAGTTGATGATTGGATTGCTTGGTCCATACTCGTTTATTTACAGACCGCCATATAGCGTGAATATTGCTGAGTGCGGCGTTAAACAGCAAGCCAACCAACCGATATTGTAACCTCATGGCGAGCTTTCTTCTAAGTCAGAATATTTAAATATTATACAAACAAGATGGTCTTAATCGCCTTCCCTACTTCTAGTTTAGATGGTTAAGTCGATGGAAGGGAATTGGATATTTGGCTGATTTCAAAGATATCAGTTCATCGATATTCCTGAAGTTCCTGATTTTAAACGTCTTGACCACACTGCCTTGACCTTGGCGTTGCTAGTTCAAGTTCATCATTGTTCATCTAGTGGCAGTCATCAATATTGGTTTTGTTTGTTTGTTTGTTTTGTTTTGTTTTGTTTGTTTCTTGTTCTTGTTTTGTTTTGTTTTTTGGAGGGGCTGGTTCTTTTGGTTTTTCTCTTTTGTTTGTCTGCTTTGTTTTGGTTGTTTTCTTGGAAAACTAGCTTCCCCGGGACGGAATACAATATAGATTATCTTCGGGCACCTCAGTGGAATGGAAAGCATTTGTGACTCGCTGTTGTGCCAACAAAATATTGATATTAAGGTATAGAGACAGTCAAGGTGTCCCAGGCTGATTATGCCCGATGTCATAAACCATGTGAATACGGATCTCCGCCGTGCCCAGTGTTGAAACACAGGTAAATAATAACGAATGAATGTTGCTAATAGCAGCTTCAATTCATTGTCACTTATTACTACAAACGTCTCGCTACACTGATCTACCTGAAATCCAAACGTCTGGCTCCACTGATCTTCCTAAAACCAAAACGTCTCGCTACACTGATCTGTCTGTGCCTCAAACGTCTCGCTACACTGATCTGTCTGTGACCTAAACGTCTTGCTACAGTGATCTGTCTGTGCTCCAAACGTCTCGCTACACTGATCTGTCTGTGACCTAAACGTCTTGCTACAGTGATCTGTCTGTGCCCCAAACGTCTTGCTACACTAATCTGTCTGTGACCCGAACGTCTCTCTACACTGATCTGTCTGTGACCCAAACGTCTCACTACACTGATCTATCTGTTACCCAAACGTCTCGCTACACTGATCTCCCTATGACCCAAACGTCTCACTACACTGATCTGCCTGTGACCCAAATGTTTCGCTATATTGATCTGTCTGTGACCCAAACATCTATCTACACTGATCTGTCTGTGTACCAAACGTCTCTCTACACTGATCTGTATGTGACCCAAACGTCTCACTACACTGATCTGTCTGAGACCCAAATGTCTCACTACACTGATCTGTCTGTGACCCAAACGTCTCTCTACACGGATCTGTCTCTGACCCAAACGTCTCACTACACTGATCTGTCTGTGACCCAAATGTCTCACTACACTGATCTGTCTGTGACCCAAACGTCTTGCTACAGTGATGTGTCTGTGCTCCAAACGTCTCGCTACACTGATCTGTCTGTGACCTAAACGTCTTGCTACAGTGATCTGTCTGTGCCCCAAACGTCTCGCTACACTAATCTGTCTGTGACCCAAACGTCTCTCTACACTGATCTGTCTGTGACCCAAACGTCTCACTACACTGATCTATCTGTTACCCAAACGTCTCGCTACACTGATCTCCCTATGACCCAAACGTCTCACTACACACTGATCTGCCTGTGACCCAAATGTTTCGCTATATTGATCTGTCTGTGACCCAAACATCTATCTACACTGATCTGTCTGTGAACCAAACGTCTCTCTACACTGATCTGTCTGTGACCCAAACGTCTCACTACACTGATCTGTCTGTGACCCAAATGTCTCACTACACTGATCTGTCTGTGACCCAAACGTCTCTCTACACGGATCTGTCTGTGACCCAAACGTCTCACTACACTGATCTGTCTGTGACCCAAATGTCTCACTACACTGATCTGTCTGTGACCCAAACGTCTTGCTTCACTGATCCTTCTCTTACACAACTGACTCTCTGAACCGACGTGTGTCGCTGCACAGATTTCCCGAGAAGTAATCGAGGAGCTCAGAGTATCCGGCCAAGGATGGCATCCCAAAGACAAGAAGACCCTTTACGGAGGTCCGACGTGATCCGTTTGGAATAGGAATACAGCTCCATACGGCTTCAAAACCTCACAATATGATGATCAATCCACACACCTGTTTAGGGTTCATTCCCAACATTGATACAATATGCAATAGTCATTCCTGGCAAGACGTTATATGTCTGATATTTTGCTAAAAGGGGGTAAATGATGCCTTTCTCGGGGAGAGTATGCAGATTGGCGTCAGACAGACGATTCCTAAACGCCTGGTTGCCGTTGTACTAAACGATCTTCAGCGGTAAGGTGATCGTACATAGACTTTTGACATAGACTTACGACTGACTGACGTAGCACCGAGGTTACCTTGTACAACGGCACAAGGTCAGTAACTTAATTCCGTAGGCCTGGCGTATCTCGAACGGTTGTTTTGACACACATATCCCGAAATAAATATATCCCATACAGCCCCTGTAAGTCTGTAATATGTGGCCAGTCTAGATTACTGCAATATTTGCAAATGGACAAAGTATCTGGTCTTCTTTGTACCAATTTTATCAACATAATATAGAACTTTACTTCTATCAGAGACAAGATGTTAGTCTGTTTGACGGTTGTTTGGTCTCAATTTCTTAAACACATATTCATGCGGATCATTTCAATGCCGAGATCCAGAATTGACAGCTGCCGGATTGCAGAGCTTTTAAATGATGAAAAGTTTACTATCCACGGACGGGACATCATATATAATAAAAAAAATCACAATCTTACTTTCTCATTAGTCACCAACTTCTAAATGCCAAGCAAACAGCAGAATATGTCGTTTCTAACATATAAAACACAATTCTTGAGGAAATAAACATGACTTACAAAGCATTATTCAGTCATTCTCAGTTAAGTTGTACAAATGCTGTCGGACTGGTCACAGGCCCCGCTATCCATACCGTGAAACCGTTTTTCCTATGAAATCGACAGTATTCAATAGTCAGATGTAATAGAAATTTATGGTAAACTACAATAGTCACAAACATTTGAGAAAATATTTGAAACTTACTGTTTCTTTACAGTTGGTTATGATTTTCTTGCTGTCGGCAAAGCATATTGCCGTCAATGATTCTCTTCTAGATAATACTAATTACTTACAAGTCAACTTAATAAACCAAAATAATGAATTTCAAAGGGTGCTTTTATATTTAAGAACATAAAAATCAAGAATGAAACAGAAACAAAAAGACAATTTTTTGTTTTAATTTTGTCGGTAGCAGTAACGTAATTTACGTTATGGTAACTAACGTACATAACATTTACCACATATAAACAAGTTTAGCAAGTAAAATGGGTTGTATTCTATGCCGAACACAATATTGCTTGCAAACAAATGTCAACTGATCAACAAGTAAAATTAATAGAACGAACTAATCCATTTTATCTTCAGTTATTGGAACGATTTTTTAAGGATGTAATCCTGCGTGACGGTCACAGTAAAATAAGTCTCATAGGAATCGATGCTGGCCCTAATCCATTTATATGGATAGCATAACCGTGTATGTTTCCAAACATTAAATCACCAAAACGGAGTAATGTGGCCCTCATCCTGGACATTTAATAGAAGGATGTAATTTACGTTTTGTAATTTACGTTTAGTTG